GTGCAGAAGAGAATCCTGTAGGTCAGAGACTGGAGGTGCTGGGTCACACGACAAACCCAGGCTTTACCCTGTGCTCTGCCCACTCCAAGGCCCTGGGACTCAAACGTCGTAAAACACTCATGCACTTCCCAGGGGCTCAGTGTAAACTGCACACTCTTAGCAAACCTGATTTTAACACTTGTCAAGCAAATAAGGCCTTGAGAAAATTCAGAAGAGCAATGATTGGCATTTTGCCACTTAAAACCTTAAATGAACTCCCACTTTAAGATGTCAGCCTTTGAGGTTTATTATCATGCCGCCTCTTCCACGGGAAAGCTTCCCTGTTGACTGAGGTCTCGGGCTTCACGTGCTGTACAAGAAAAGCACAGCTATTGTGCAAGGAGAATGAGAGGAGCAAAAACGAATATGAATCTGCTGCAAAATGCCCTCCTGATACTCATGTCTTATTCATGAATGTGCCTCATCAACATTGAGACCACAAGGAAATCTGTACTATAAGTAGAAATTCTAGAGAAAGTGGCTAACTTAAATTTCCTTACTTTAACCAGCTCTTGATGAATAATGCATAATATACTATACAAATGCGTATCAAGTTTGACTTAGAAAATGAGAAAGTAAATTTACTGAAATAAAAAAGAGAGAAAAAAACTCCAAATTATTCAAGGACTTGAGATCTACAATAACAACAAAATATTACAAGTACAAAAAAAAAAAAAAAAAAAACTGGCCAAGAGAAATTCCTCTCCTTAGTCATTTAGTCTACATGGAAAAAATCATCGTCATTTATGGAGAACTTTATTTAATAAAAATAGGCTTGCTGGGTGTAAAACACCCTCTTGTCCTTGGTTCCTGTCAACAAAACAAAAATCTAACTTCTGCCTGACACCAGATGCCTGGATCGCCTGCAGTTTCCCTTCCAGCTGTCTGATAACATTGAACAGATAAAATCCTCCTTTAAGAAACAGAGAACTTTTAAGAGTCTGGCAGGCCAAAGAAGTTCTGGTTCAAAAATTAAAGATCTGCAATTCTATTAGGACAAAAGGGAGCTTGGGAGCTCCCATGGGAAAGATTCCATGTCTAGTCTGCAGAGTATCAGGCCTTTGATGGGAAACTGGAACACTCAGCTCCATCTCCCCCGCCAGGAGACAGCCACGGACGGAGGTCACCTGCTTCTGCAGCTGTCATGGCCCCTCCATCCTGGGGTACCTGGGCATGAGAGGACAGGGACTCAGACTGGAAGAGAGAGATGCCAATAGAAAGGAGAGTGTCAGATCCGAGTGACAGAGAGACAGAGAGAAAAGAGCGCGACTCGCCAACACCAGCATACTGTGGGCCCTTTGTTGAACCCCAGATATCTGAGACAGACAGCTCTCAGTTAATTTAGAAAGTTTATTTTGCCAAAGTTAAGGATGAGTGCCCGTGACTCAGTCTCAGGAAGTCCTGACATGTTCCCAAGGTGGTTGGGGGCACAGCCGGGTTTTATACATTTTAGGGAGACATAAGACATGAATCAACATGTGTGAGATGTATGTTGGTTTTGTCCAGAAAGGCGATACAACTCGAAGCAGGCAGGGTCTTCCAGGTCATAGGCAGGTAAGAGACAAAAGGTTGCATTCTTTTGAGTCAATGATTAGCCTTTCCAAAGGAGGCGATCAGATATGCATCTATCTCAGTGAGCGGAGGGCGGCTTTGAGTTCTGTCTGTCCTTTGTCCACAGGGAAACTCCTTATGACGGAGGTATGTCACTTTTTTTTTTTTTTTAATCTTAGTAGCTTCCTTTTTAAGGAATAGATTGGGATGCAGCTTTGCCCTAAGCAGTTCCCAGCTTGACTTTTCCCTTTGGCTTTTGGGATGCCAAGATTTATTTTCTTTTTACACCTTTCAAGGCAATCCTGCTCTGTCTGCAGAGATGATAGAAAACTGCACTCAAGCAGGTCCCAGCCCCTTTCCATTACGGATGCAGAGAACTGAGGCCCAACACAGTCCCAGGACCCAGCCCCCTTACATTACGAATTCAGAGAACTGAATTTTATTTTTTAATAAATAAAAGCCTAAATAAATCTTTTATTTAGGACGTGGGACACACGTGTGGAGTTTAGGAGTGGAGGTTTAATAGGCAAAAGAAAAAGAAAGGAAAACAGTTCTCTCTCTACAGAGAGAGGGGACCTCCGAGAGGAAGAGACCTGCGGATACCCCAGATTTTATAGTCAGGCTTGAGGAGGTGGTGTCTGATTTACATAGAGCTCACAGATTGGTGCAATCAGGTGTGACCTATACATAACCCTAACCCTAACCCGCCCCGATCTTATCATGCAAATGAACTTTCCCCTTAGCCGGGGCCATCTTGTCTGCTCCTGACTGTATGCGTGGCTGGCGGAGAAGGGAAGAGGGGGCCGCCATCTTGAACATGATTGGCACAACTGCCCTCATCTATCTGCAGCTGGATATCACAGGCTGCTCTTTGTTAGAAAGGAAAATGATTTGGGGCTGATTTTCATTAAAAGGAAAACAGTACCGAGGACTTCCACACCCTCACTATCTGCCTAATTTCTTCTTAACTCCTGTGTCAACAGTAGACTGTGAAAAATCAGTTTGTTTGAAACATTTTTCTAAAATCAAACAAAGGTTTTCTATACTAATTATAGTAAATTATTCTCGAAAAGACCCGAAAGCATCAATGTCAGTGGAAATCACTTGCTTGTTTTCCTACGACCTGCTGTATTTGGGGCTGCAGTGTGGGCTGCTTGATCCATTTAGCCAACAGCAGTTTTCCTTTATCCATTGGCACTGAAATTACGCAGTTGTACTTTCTGCTTCTACCCACCCTAGCTTTATCTCAGATCACGAGGTCAGGTCAGCCACTGGGCTGGGGTGTTTAGCAGTGATAAATAAATGCTTAGTAAACAAGGCACCCACACCAGGCCCCTGGCAGCAGGCATCTGTCTCCTAGGTTCTTTGCCTTATTCCACTGCTGTGGGATTCCCCCAAGGAGAAACATTCTCTCAGACAATTCTGACCTTTTCTTGTGGTGGTTCTTCTCCTCTCATCTCCTGTCCACCTAGAGCTAGGAGGGGTTTCAGCTGCAGGGATGTATCAGGTCCTCCTATGCTACTTAAAACAAAATAAAACAAAAAAAGCAGACTTTGGGAGGCCGAGGTGGGTGGATCACCTGAGGTCCGGAGTTTGAGACCAGCCAGGCCAACATGGTGAAACCCTGTCTGTACTAAAAGTACAAAGAATTAGATTAGTTGGGTGTGGTAGTGGGCATCTGTAATCCCAGCCACTCGGGAGGCTGAGGCAGGAAAATCGCTTGAACCGGGAGGTGGAAGTCGCAGTGAGCCGAGATCGTGCCACTGCACTCCAGCCTGGGCAACAGAGCGAGACTCCGTCTCAAATAAATAAGTAAATAAAGCAGGACTCAGTTACAAATCCGAAAAGTGCCGGTGCTCTCAGACAACAGGAGGGAATTATCTCTCAATTCTCCTTTAAGGCAAAACATGTCGTGTCAAGGTGAGGAAGAGCAAATGTGTCTCCACTCAAAGGTGAACTTCAGAGCTGTCGGTGTCTGGGGCCCGGGCTGCTGCCTTCTCTGGGCTCCCCTGTGAATGCTGTGAGGATTGTTCAGACAGAGATCACTGAACACCTACTAAGCGCCAGGCATCTTGAGGAGCACTTTCCACACCCGATTTCATCCCTGATGGCAGAGCCGCTGTGGGACTCAAGGTCATTGAATTCTCTTCATCACACAGACAAAGACATGGAGGGTGGAGATGGCCGAGGGTGGCTGTGGGCGTCTTATCAGGAAGGAGTCTGCCTGGGACCCCAAGTGGGGCTCACACCTACACACACTCTCCATGCCTGGGACCCACACAGGGCACACACACACACACACACACACACACACACACACACCCCCTCCACCCCATTCTTCTGCCTCCAGGATTCTGTCTGGGGCTGAGACCCAGGTCGTGGCCAGCACCAGGCATCCTCCTGAAGCAGCCAGTACAGAGGCCCAAGACAAGGCCCTGGGGCCTCCTTCCCAGTGGGGCCTTCTTTCTGATGAAGCCCGTGGGGAGGAGGCCAGGATGGGACTCCCCCTCCTAAGGAGTCTGTCTGCCATGTGCATAGAGACACCTGACACCAGAGTCGCAAAGGACCCACCTTCCCCTTAACCCCAAACTGAGGGGTTCCCAGAAGGATGGGGCTTGTGGTGTTAAAACCAGGAATGTCCCGGGGAGGTGGGAGTGAGCCCAGAGCTCAGGCTTTTGCCGGAGCCCCTGAGTCGCAGGGCAGTGCCCTGGACTGTCTCACCAGCTGGAGGGACACTGCCACCTGCCAATGGCGGCACTGCCAATTTCCAGTCACCGCAGTCAGCTAGGATTCATCCCACCCGCCTAGGGGCTAGGCCTCAAACCCACGTACGTCATCTGGGGTGTCTGCAGCTGTCAGCGTCTTGGAATGTGCACCCGCAGGGCTCACATGCTGAGCAAACTTGGCTGTGTGATTACAGCCCCGGGCTTCTCTGTGAAGATTTAATTTCACTTGTTAAATAATTTACAGCTCTGGCAGGCAGAGGAAACTCTGAAGAAGTTTCGTTTGCAAATGCCAGTGTTTTTAGTTCAGCTTTTCCCCTCAAAACTCTGAGTTTGAAAGAATAAACTTAAAAAGGATACGTTTCCAGGCTTTCTTCTCCCTTCATTGAATGGTGTTTCTTCAGGTAGCTGGAGGAAATGGCTTGGAGTCAGCTGCCATTCACAATAAAGTGAAAATTAGACACAGCCATATTGGCAAGAATGAGAGAGAGACAGACAGAGAGGAAAGTAGGAAGAAAGGAAGGCACATAGAAACCCAGGTTTATATTATATGTGTGCATACGCATGTGTAACCCTCTATCTAGTACATAACAGGAATATGGAGGGACATTAGGACCCCTGTGAGATAGTGCACCAGTTTGAGACGATACACTGTGTACTTGGAAATAAGACAGAACATGCCATGAGTTGTATTTATGTGCCATTTTGTTTATTTGTTGTTGTTTTTCCCTGTCAGCAGCAGAATATGTGGTATCTTGTCTAAATGTGACTACGTCCACATGTGACAGGCCTGGGGGAAACATGGTGTTTCTGACCTGTTTCTCCCTCTTCGCTCCCCGCCCCACCTCCTGCTCCTCCCTGTCTCCCAGACCCTTCCCAGGCCTCTTAGGCAGAACGTGGTGGCCAGCAGAGGAAAATGGGAAAACAGGATTCCAGAACAGTCACTGCCAACTCTTTCAGACAAACGCATGTTTCAATATCAGCTTCCCTATCTTGAAATAAATTCATACATATTATTTACTCTCACAGACAGTTTTGAAAATCTCTGTAGTGCCCAGACTGAAAGAGAAAGAGAAATCAAGATAAATCAAAGAAGATCAGAGGAATCCCCGAAGCTCTCTGGGGCAGGGATGATCCTCCCTGGGGTCGGAAATTCCCAGGTAACTTTTGACTCTCCAAAAACTTAACTACTGGTAGCCTCCTGCTGACGGAAAGTCAATTAACATGTACTTTATATGTTATATGTGCTATATACTGTATCGTTATGATAAAATAAGCTAGAGAAAAGAAAATGTTATTAAGAAACTCAGAAGAGGCCGGGCGCAGTGGCTCAAGCCTGTAATCCCAGCACTTTGGGAGGCCGAGACGGGCGGATCACGAGGTCAGGAGATTGAGACCATCCTGGCTAACACGGTGAAACCCCGTCTCTACTAAAAAATACAAAAAAGGCCGGGCGCGGTGGCTCAAGCCTGTAATCCCAGCACTTTGGGAGGCCGAGACGGGCGGATCACGAGGTCAGGAGATCGAGAGACGATCCCGGCTAACACGGTGAAACCCCGTCTCTACTAAAAAATACAAAAAAACAGCCGGGCGAGGTGGCGGGCGCCTGTAGTCCCAGCTACTCGGGAGGCTGAGGCAGGAGAATGGCGTAAACCCGGGAGGCGGAGCTTGCAGTGAGCTGAGATCCGGCCACTGCACTCCAGCCTGGGCGGTAGAGCGAGACTCCGTCTCAAAAAAAAAAAAAAAAAAAAAAAAAAGAAACTCAGAAGAAACAGAAATACACTTACAGGACTGTGCTGCACTTATGGATGCTGTAAGTTTACTTTCTTTATAAGATGAATCATTCATCTAAAATACGGCAAACCACCACTGCAGACCTCAATCTATGGTACATACCAAGCATTTCCACTTTTTCCTGTTATGTCGTGACCTTTTTCTGCTTCTTGGGGGCACTTCCAGCATCACTAGTGGCACTTCGTGTGGGTCCTCCTCTCCCATGACTGCTGGCTGTAGGGACCACTGAGACGCTGATGGTTTATAAAGACCACTGAATGAGATGAAGGACCAGGCAGGCTTTGGGCACCGGATCCACCTCCACACATCCTCACCGTTATTTAGAGGCCTCATGGAAGTATATTTCCCCAAGTAGCCTTGATTGCCATCTGCATTCAACTGTAAAATCAAGAATATCAAGGTAGGAAGGAGCCATAAACATCCTATTACCTGACTCTCCTAGGTTAAGACGCCTTCTGAGACATTCCCGCACAGCCGTCTGCCTGATACTGAATGTCTCTGCGGAAAAGAACTCAAGAACTGCCAGGCAGCCCATTCCATTTAAGCTGCTTTGCCTATTAGAAAGTTCCTTCCTTCCTTCCTTCCTTCCTTCCTTCCTTCCTTCCTTCCTTCCTCCCTCCCTCCCTCCCTCCCTCCCTCCATCCCTCCATCTTTCTTTGTAGTGAGAATGGGAAAGAGTAGAACAAGGAGCTGGATCTGTACCTGACTGTGAACAATCGAGATAACTCACCACCTTCAGACCAGCCTGAAAGTTCTTCCTATAATGAGTCAAAACGTGCTCCAGAGTTCTGCCAATGACCCTCAAGCAAAACTTTCTTTTTTTTTTTTTTTTTTGGACCAGTGGGGATGGCAACAGTGAGTTGAACTAATATTAACATGTCAGTTGGTTTCCTTAAAATTGGTTCAGTGTGTTCTCAACTTGGACGTGACAAAATTCCAGCGATGAGGCTCATCAGTGTCTCCAAGCCCTGGCGATGCTACCTAGGACATCCCGAGCCTGATTCTGATTGAGGCTGTGATTTGGCCTCTGCGGTGGGTGCGCCATGGGAGAGGAAACCATCCCAACATCTGACTCAGGGCCGCGAGCCCATTCATACCTAGGAGATCACTGAAAGACAAAGTTTCCCAACCTCAACGCTACCCATATTCCAGACCAGACGGTCTCTGTTGTGGGGAACAGTCCGGTGTGTCACGAGACATTCGGCAGCATCCCTGGCCCCTGCCGCTGGCTTCCAGAGCACACACTCTCTCCTCCCAGGTCACAAAGATCAAAGTGTCCAGATATTGCCAATGTCCCCTGGAGGATGAAGTCAGCCCCAGGTGAGAGCCACTGGTGTGGGCTGTGTACACGGCCTCCTTTGGTCTCCGTTTAGTGCTTTAGTGATCCTTCTAAAGAGAATATGCTACCTAGGATCTTAGCTGAACTTCTTAGGGGAGAGCCAGATATTGTTACCGGAGACCATGACATTTTTTTTCATTACATAAACAAAACTGACCAAGAAAAATGCGTATTCTTCTTCCTCTATTTCAATAAGATTGCCCGTTGTGTTGTACATGGGCTTAGCTCCTATTTGTTTGGCTATCAGTATAGTAGTTCTACTATTTTTTGTGATTTTTCTCAACCAACACAAGGACACCTTTGAAGCAGTAATAACGTCACAGTTTCCATTTGAAGCTTGAGGTTAGAGGACACTCCAAAATCAGGTTTGATCAATGCATAATAATGAAGATTAAAAAGTGATTTTTGGTTTCTTAGGAAGCTATTGGAACAATTTATCATAGCCAGTCAGGTAGTCAATACAAACAAGACTTACTGGAGAAAATAATCACTAGCGTAGGTAATAAAAATTTAATTGATTTACATTTATTATTAAAAAATGAATGTATAATTTGTCAGAGTTAAATATTATAGCTCCAGTTTTTAAAATTGATCTGTATGTTTTTGTACTTGTAAGCTAAACAGACAGGTATACTCAATGTTGTTTCAAATGATGCTAGAAAACAGCTGCATGTGAGCTACTCTAATAGGTGATGGTGAGGTTTTTTATTCCTTAATTTTATTGTTGTTTTAAATTTTAAACTTAAGTTGTACCTATATATATTTTCTTTTTTTTATTTAAAAATAGCTTACTGTAAATTTAATGTGAGTGAGTGTTTAAGTGGAGAGTTTTAATTGTGTAGCCTTGGAATTGTGGCATTTCCACATGGAGGGAGAAGTTGGAGAATAACATTCATAATTAGTGTATTCCACATGCCAGGGAATTTCCTACAGTCACCTCACTTTCTGTACTATCCCATTTTACCAGAAGGAAGCAAAGATTCAAAAAAAGTAATTTGCCTTCAAAACCCATAGAGAACATCTACAACAAAACCAAGTGACAAACTATTTCCACAGGCCCCAAAATGTGAGCAGGTGGGGACAGTCACCAACTAAAAAGTCCTCCTAGTATCAGCATCTGTGTCCAAAACCAGGGGGCACCTCGCCTCGAGAGTGGAGGAGGCCTCAGCAGCCAGCGTACGGCCTGAAAGGCAGCGCAGCACATGGAACAAAAGCACAAACCATCATGGGGGCTGCAGATTCTGATTTTACTAAGAGACTGCAGTTGGCCCTTGGTAAACTCTGGAGGGGCAAGGTGCCTGGACCCCATGAACAGTTGAAAGGTTCCTTCCTGAGCGGAGCTCTATTCTCGGGGAAAAGTGCTGAGATTGGTAAGCAAATCAAGCAGGAGAGAGACACTAAGAGCAAAGGAAAAGAAAGCCCAGACCACAGTGATGGAAAACAGAGGAGGCTCATCTCAGAAAGTACGAGGTCATCTTTTCACTCACTTTGTGGACAACAGAAGTAACAGAAGATGGACCTCTCTGACAGCAAGTTAGATTACTTCAGTAAAATGAGCCAGTTCCTAGAAAAACAGAAACTACTAAAAGAGACTAAAAAATAAATGGGAAAATCAAGTAGACTTACAACAAATAGAGGTTAATTGGTAATTAAAAACTTTTCTGCAAAGAAAAGCCCAGGCCCACATGGCTTTAACTTGTAAATTCTACCCAAACATTTGAAGAAGAATACCAAACCTTCACAAATTCTTTCAGAAAGAAGAGAGAGAGAGAGAGAGAGAGAGGAGAGAGAGAGAGAGAGAAGGAAGGAAGGAAAGAAGAAAGAAAGAAAAAGAAAAAAGAAAGAAAGAAAGAAAGAAAGAAAGAAAGAGGAAGAAAAAAAAAAAGAAGAGGAGGAAACACAATTAACTATCCCATGAGGGTCAGTTATCCTACACCAAAACCAGACTGACTTGTATGAAAGGAAGAGGAAAACTACAGGCCAATATCCTCAATGAATATCAATGCAAAATCATCAAAAAAAATACTTAGCAAACCAAATGCCAGCCAATATCGAAAAAGATTATACGACACAGCTGAGTGGGATTTATCTCAAGAATTGCCCAAGGGCGGTTCAATACAAAAAAATCAATGTAACACAACACTTCCAAAGAGTACAGGACAAAACCACTGTGGTCATCTCAATAGGCACAGAAAAAGATTGAGAAAATCCAACACCCCTCAAATAAAGCACCTAAAAAGTGGGGAATAGAAGAGAACTTCCTCAGCCTGCAAGGGGATCTACAGAAAAGTCAAGTTAAGAGAAGAATCTGGAGTGGCTTTCCCGTAGCTCAGGAGCAGAAGGAGGAGGTCTGCTCTCCTGTTTCTATTTAATGTTGTAATGGAGGCTCTAGATAAAAGTTAGTACAGAATAAGAAGAGAATGAAAGACAGAGAGAAAGAAAGGCAAGGTCTCCATGCTGGAAATGAAGAAGTGAAATTGTTTCTGTCTGAAATTTCATAAGAACAGTGCAGACCGAGGCAGGGTGGGCACAGTGCAAGTGGAGCAGGGTTGGCCAGGAGCTGGTAATGATGGATGCACTTTTCCTCTGATTTTTTATATGCTTAAAATTTTATGCAACCTTTGGCCAGGTTCAGTGGCTCAGACCTGTAATCACAGCACTTTGGAAGGCCAAGGCAGATCACCTGAAGTCAGGAGTTCGAGATCAGCCTGGCCAACATGGCAAAACCCTGTCTCTACTAAAAACACAAAAATTAGCCCAGCATGGTGGTGCATAACACCTGTAATCCCTGCTACTTGGGAGACTGAGGCAGGAGAATCACTTGAACCTGGGAAGCAGATATTGCAGTGAGCTGAGATCACGCCACTGCACTCCAGTCTGGTTGACAGAGACTCTGTCTCAAAAAACAAAAACAAAATTTTATGTAACTTTTAAATAAAAGTTAATATTGGAAGATGTTTTTAAAGGAATAATACACATTCTCAGAAAACTCAGAGATTTCTAAATCAAAAGAGAAACCATGCCTTTTCCTTGTTTTTTTTTTTTGAGGCAGGTTAGCCCCAGTTCATGACTGCGGTCTAAAGCTATTGGCTAATTTTACACAAATCAGAACCCATTAACTTTTCATTTAATCCAAGTCTATCACAAAATATCTAGTCAAATATTTACTGATTTTATTTTACTAATAGGGAAAAACCCAACAGTCCGTGCTCATAACCAACAGGTATGTAGAGATGTAAGCTGTTTCAACTGTTTTCCCCGTCATTCTTCCTTACGGAACATAAATAATTCACAAATCCAGTCCCTCTCCTCTTCCCCTAATTAACCTGTAATTAACCCAATGAATTCTTTAAGAACTCGGTTCGATGTCACTCTCCTGGGGGTTGGCTTCCCAGCGCTTCCTGGCTGGGTCTCAAGCCTCTGCCACACGGAGGAGGCATAGGAAGTTCCGTCACTTTTCCCCAGTGTCTAACTCAGGGGGTTGCCGCATGCTCCTCTGTAAGATCAGGTGGCCGTGGTGGGGCTCCCTCACTGGCCTGTGTCTGTCCTTATTCGGCCAAGGGCTGTTCCTGGCACACACAGCACAGGGGATGAGCCTGGCAGGGCTGAGTGAGAAGATGTGAGAAGGGACAGATAAAGAGACAAACCGACTCACATTGTTACTCGCCAATGCCTCGCCTGTCGTTATTGTACACCACACATATACAAAAAAGAAGTTTCCATGTTTTTCACTATTTTCTTAATACCTTTATAAAGTGCATCAAACTTAGCCACTTAAACTTATTTATTTGGTTTATGATCCCTGTGTTTTTAATCTTTTAATATTTCTGTATACTCGATAGGATACTTCCCTTCGATCATTTTATACTTTTATCAAAGTAAAATTCTAGGCCAGGCACGATGACTCACACTTGTAATCCCAGCACTTTGGAAGGCTGACGCAGGCAGATCACCTGAGGTCAGGAGTTTGAGACCAGCCTGACCAACATGGTGAAACACCATCTCTATTAAAAATACAAAAATTAGCCTGGCATGGTGGTGGGCACCTGTAATCCCAGCTACTCAGGAAGCTGAGGCAGGAGAATCTCTTGAACCCAGGAGGCAGAGGTTGAGGTGAGCCGAGATCGTGCCGTTGCACTGCAGCCTGGGTGACAGAGTGAGACTCCGTGTCAAAAAAAAAAAAAAAAAAAAAGTAAAATTCTACTTGGCCAGAACCATTATTAGGTTGTTTTTCTTTTTTTAATGTCATGGTTTAATTAATTAATTTAATTGGCCCCTTCCAAAAGGAAGCTTATTAAAACATTTAATAGAACCTTAAAGAAAATCCTCACTTGTATTTATTTTGATAAATTGGTTCGAATTTAAGAAAGCCTCGGCCGGGCGCGGTGGCTCAAGCCTGTAATCCCAGCACTTTGGGAGGCTGAGACAGGCGGATCACGAGGTCAGGAGATCGAGACCATCCTGGCTAACACAATGAAACCCCGTCTCTACTAAAAATACAAAAAAATTAGCCGGGCGAGGTGGCGGGCGCCTGTAGTCCCAGCTACTCGGGAGGCTGAGGCAGGAGAATGGCGTAAACCCGGGAGGCAGAGCTTGCAGTGAGCCGAGATAGCGCCACTGCACTCCAGCCTGGGCGACAGAGCAAGACTCCGTCTCAAAAAAAAAAAAAAAAAAAAAAAGAAAGCCTCACTGAAGGTTGACTTTACTTACAGAATGTCAGTAGATTTACCAGGAAAACACTTGTACTGTCATGACGTGAGTGAACCCCAGAAGATAAGGATGCTTCATAATTAATGCCTCCAGCTCTTAACATATGCAGCCATCTGCGCTCTCCCCTGCGCAGTCTGCCGGTTTATTAATAATGCATTCATATTTGTCTGTAGCCCATACGAGCTGTATGACAGGAGGGATCAGAAAACACAATCCATTTCACCCAGTCTAAGTTGCCAGTCAGGTGTGGATAACAGGTCAGTTTATTGTTAGCTGTAGTTTCAGGTGAGAGTGACATGACTCAAAATAATGTGACCAAACTAAGAGAAGAACATGTAATCATGTTGGCCCTCATACCGACAGTGCAGAGGCCAGCAGCCCAGTCCTGAGGATCCCAGCCTCCGTCCAGCTCACCTTGCTTTGAAGACAACGCCACCACTGTCCCAGCCCCCAGTGACCGGAGAGTAGATGGGGTCACCCTGGCTCCTGCCTGGGCACCCTCGTTCTACCCCGGCCTCTGCTGCATTTCCCGGGTAATTCACTCTCCATCCAGGCTGCTGTCAGAGAAGGCCCTGGTGCTGTCATTGCCAAGTTTTTTCTTTTTTTTTTTTTTTTTGAGACGGAGTCTCGCTCTGTCACCCAGGCTGGAGTGCAGTGGCCGGATCTCAGCTCACTGCAAGCTCCGCTCCCGGTTCACGCCATCTCCTGCCTCAGCCTCCCGAGTAGCTGGACTACAGCGCCTGCCACCTCGCCCGGCTAGTTTTTTTTTTGTATTTTTAGTAGAGGGGTTTCACTGTGTTACCCAGGATGGTCTCATCTCCTGACTCGTGATCGCCGTCTCGCTCCAAGTGCTGGGATTACAGGCTTGAGCCACCGCGCCCGCCCTCTTTTTTCTTTTCTTTTTCTTTTTTTTGAGGCGGAGTCTCGCTCTGTCACCCAGGCTGGAGTATAGTGGCGCGATCTCGGCTCACTGCAACCTCCACCTCATGGGTTCAAGCGATTCTCCTGCTTCAGCCTCCCAAGTAGCTGAGATTACAGGCATGCACCACCATGCTCAGCTAAGTTTGTATTTTTAGTAGAGACGTGGTTCACCATGTTGGCCAGGCTGGTCTCGAACTCCTGACCTTAGGTGATCTGCCTGTCTTGGCCTCCCAAAGTGCTGGGATTACAGGCGTGAGCCACCGCGCCCAGCCCCCTCAATGTAGTCTTAGTAGATGAGCAGTCCTAGTTCCCAGATCAGATGGGAGAGCCGTAAGACCGGGTCCAGGTTGCCCTGTGCTGTGAGGAAGAGCCGTGATTGTTCCACTGAGGCTTGAGAGACGACTTTGGAGGGGAGAGGGTTAGAGGGCAGGCCAAGGGCTGTCGGATCACAGTAGGAAGTGAAGTTGGCACGATTCCAGTTGCCATCAACTCCCTGCTGGCATGTAATCTGCATGCAGGTTGGAGTCATCAGAAACCAGAACCTTCTCTGATAGAAAACAGGGAAAGCACCGAGCACCCGTCTTGTTGACAGTGCTGTCCAGGGCTCGCTCCTGAAGAGGCTGTGAGATCCAGGGGCACGTGTGATCTTCTGGCTGGGGAGGTACCAAGGCCACAGACCCCGACCCCTGTGCAGAACCATGTACTCCCCGCCCAGGCTTGGTGCACTGGAGGGAATGAAAATAAAGAACCTCTTAAAATTTAGTTGGAGAAATAATAAAATATAATTTTCCATAGTCAAACAGAATAGGATGAAATAACAGCAAACACTTCTCTGACACAGTTCCGAGAGCCTGTGTATATGAATTCGTGCAATCCCATAGTCATCCAATTAGGCGAGGACTGTCATTGTCCCTGTTTCACAGACAACGGGCCGAGGGCTCCTCTAGCTTTCCCACGCCTCACAGCTGGTACGTGCAAACCCAGGGCTTGAGCCCCAGCAGTGTGGCTCGGGTCTGCTGCACTGACCCATGTCCAAGTTGTTACGTGCACAAGGGATGCTACAGACGTTTATGAGACACACACGACGGTGGCTGTCATACATTATCACTGGGGAGCTAAATCCATCGGGGTCCCAGTTACAAGCAACTGAAACGAATCATGCTATTGCTTTTTTTTTTTTTTTTTTTTTTGGAGACAAGTCTCACTCTGTCGCACAGGCTGGAGTACAGTGGTGCAATCTCGGCTCACTGCAACCTCCACCTCCTGGGTTAAAGCGATTCTCCTGCCTCAGCCTCCCGAGTAGCTGGGATTACAGGCACCTGCCACCATGCCAGTCGATTTTTGTATTTTTAGTAGAGATGGGGTTTCATCATGCTGGCCAGGCTGGTCTCAAACTCCTGACCTCAGGTGATCTGCCCATCTTGGCCTCCCAAAGTGCTCGGATTACAGGTGTGAGCTACTGCACCTGGCTGAATCATGCTATCTTAGGAGTCAGAGGTAATTAACTGAAAGGATACAGGGGCTCACAGAATTGAAGGAGGCCAGAAAGCCAGGATTAGAAATGGCTCAGAAAATTACCAGGAGAGGTTGAGGGGTGGGAGCTGCAGCCAAGTCTGGCTGGGTCTGAACTGCAAACGTTCCTTTGGGTCCCTGGTCCAAGAATAACTAATATCTGTGTGCTTTGGTCCAACACCACACACTGGCTGTCCCAGGGAACAGAAAGAGGAGCCTCTCTCCTCACATTCCTTGTAGTTAAAGACCATACCTTGCCCGTTCTGCACCAAATGGTCCCCTCCCATATCAGGTGCCAAAGAGGGGGTGCATGAGGAATAGCCGCTCACCTGAATCAGTAAGGGGCAAGTGGCTGTTGGAAGGATCCTCCGTCCGAGGCCATGCACAGTGGCACCTCCAGGAGGGAGAGCAAGGCTGTAGAGGCCGGCATGGGTGCCTGCTGAGAAAGCTGGGAAAGCTGGAGGCCCAGAAACCATCCCACATCCCCCAGCAGGCCCCACCAAGAGGAGGAACCTGAGGCCAACCTCCACAGGCAGAGGGAACGTGATACACAGTTGACGTGTTAGGGAAGCAGCTGGGGTGAACAGGGAGGGCATGGAAGACACCAAGAGATGTGTCCCAATGCCCCACAGCCTGGAGGCTCACATCTGCAACAGGGATGACTGTCAGGGTCTGTAATCCCAGCACTTTGGGAGGCCAAGTGCTCACAGAACAGAAGCACAAACCAGCATGGGGGCTGCAAAAAACGGTGCTTTGCAAACAACGGTGGCGACACGAACGTCCCTCCACTGAAGGAATTCACAAAAGCAGTGCAAGAGACCATCATAACATCAAAAAATTACAGTTCTAGCACTCTCTCTAGCAGAGAGAGTGCTGGAAGACCACACCATGTGCCACAGGATACCTGTCTGTGTTTCTCTTTTTTTGAGATGGAGTCTTTCTCTTTTTTTTTTTTTGAGATGGAGTCTTTTTTCTTTCTTTCTTTCTTTCTTTTTCTTTCCTTTATCTCTTTTTTTTTGAGATGGAGTCTTTCTTTCTTTCTCTTTCTTTGTTTCCTTCTTTCTTTCTCTCTATTTCCTTTCTCTCTTTCTCTCTCTCCTTTTTGAGATGAAGTTTCTTTCCCTTCTTTCCTTCCTTCCTTCCTTCCTTCTTTCCTTTCTTTCCTTCTCTTTTTTGAGACAGAGTCTTGCTCTGTCACTCAGGCTGGAGTTCAGTGGCGCGATCTCGGCTCACTGCAACCTCTGCCTCCCAGGTTCAAGAGATTGTCCTGTCTCAGCCTCAGTAGCTGGGATTACAGGCACCCACCACCACGCCCAGCTAATTTTTGTATTTTTAGTAGAGATGAGGTTTCCCCACGTTGCCCAGGCTAGTCTCCAACTCCTGAGCTCCGGTGATCTGCCCACCTTGGCCTCCCAAAGTGCTGGGATTACATGCATGAGCCACCACGCCCGGCCCCTGTATTAGTTTCTTTTTGCTGTACAGCAAATGATCCCAGGCTTAGGTGCTTAAAACCATACACATTTCTCACTCTTTGTTTCCATGGGTCAAAAGTCTGCACGTGACCAGCTGGGTCCTCTGACTGGGGCCTCACAAGGCTGAAGTCAAGGTGCTGCTGGGCCAGGTGCTCATCTGAAGGTCAAGGTCACCTTCCAAGCTTATTGGCTGTTGGCAGCATTCAGTTCCTCGTGCTTGTGGGACTGAGGCCCCTGTTTCCTGCTGCTGCCCGCTGGGACCTGCTCTCAGTTACTGGAGGCCCCTCTGCTCCCTCTCATGTGGCTCCCCGGAAAGCACGGCGGTTTGCTCCCTCAAGGCCAACAGGAGCACATCTCTGCAGCCTCGACTCTCTCTGACGTTCCCTATCTGGTATCCAGTTCCACCCAAGATAACCTTGCCTTTGACTAGCTCAAAGTTGACTGATTAGAGATCTTAATTCCACTGAAGAATTCCTTCATCTTTACAAGAGAATGTAACCGGATCAAGGGAGGGACATCGGGCTCTGTTCCCACCGAGGACAGGGGATTGCAATGGAGCCCCCCAGCATGGGGTGGGAATGTTGTGAGCCCTATCAGAACTGTGTCTCCTGAAGTTCCGGAGACAGAAGCGGCTCAGGAACGAGGGGAGCACTGTGGCGCTGAGTCTACAGGATGGATGAGGTGGAAGATGTTCCAGGGGGATGAGACAGCAATGCTGAGAAAGGAAGGAAATCTGGATGAATACGTAGAGGTTGGCCAGATTATGAGAGACTGTGATGACCAGTTGGAGAAGTTTGTATTTCATGCTATAAAAAGCAACCAAATCTAGTTAATATACCCTAAGTTGGGTAATAGGATCAGATTCTTTACAGTAAAGCTTACAAAAGTAAAATTATTTTATAATTGTATTATAGCAAACAACAGGGTTTAAAAATGGTCCCTTAAAAATGAGCCTTAAAAATAAGCAGCCACTTAATACTCATTTGGGTCCAAAAGCCACAAAGCTATTGACATTTTCTTTATGCTGAGGAAGTCTTGGTGGTATCGATTCTCATACAGCAGAGATCAAGACGAACATCTTGTACCTCCTCTTCCCCACCTGCCTCTGAAGCAAGCCCTGATCTGATGACATCGTCATGAGGCCTGCTCGCCCTCAGCAGCTTCCTAGTGTGCCCTGGGTGTGGGCATCCAGTGCCAATAAATGGAGGAAAACGGGCAGACTGGGAGGGGTGGGAGCAGGCCGGAGGAAAGGAAGTGGGGAGGGAGGGAGGGAGGCGGAGAAAGTCAGCGTAAGGGAAAAGTGGGACATCTGGTCACACCAGGGTTCAGGGAGTGGCAAGAGGTTCCGAGCCCTGCCCGCTACTGACCCGAGGCTCACACAGCCTCACCAGCCTCGCATCAGTCACGGTTCCGAGTCCTCAGGAATAACAACAACTAAGAGTTAATTTTAAAAATTTTTTCCATTGTAATTTATATGGAATTCTGAACAATGGAAAATCAGAGCCCAAACAGGTGATAAAGAGGTTCATTAAGAGCCTTGCGAACCCGAGAGCACATTCAGAATCGCCCTCGCACTTACATCTGTGAAAGACACACGCTCCGGCCAGTGTCCCGCAGACACTCCCACATCCCCCATCACACAATGAGCAGGCCTGCTTCTCTGCTTCCCATCACTTCACCCATCCCGTTCAGCAGATGCTCCCCTTGAAGAGCTGGAAAATATGGGTGTTCAGGAAAGGCCTTGAAGATAGAAATGAATGCAAATGCTGTTGTTATTAATAATATTTCAAAGTGGGCACAGGGAACTTGATGACATTTTAATTTAATTTGATTTGATTAGTCGGGGGCAAAAGACTTTTTATTTTTATCTTCAAAGGCTGGAGGCACGTCAGGTACACAGACTGCAGCACGGTTTGCTCAGCGTGTTGGGTTCTGGCTGACGATGTGTGCCCAAAACCTTTCTCACGGCTTCTGAAAGTAGATTGAAGGGAGTGGAGCACCGTAGCCTCTCTGGTTGCAGAGACTCTCCAGGCATTTTCTTTTCATGTGAGATGTCACACTAACCCAAGCACGATAATTTAGCTTCCTGCTAAGCTAGTCCAGAGACTGATCGTTTCTATCCAAAATTGGCAAGCCTCCCTTCCTTTATATTTCAGATTGAAGAACAGGAGAAAATTTTCAGAAAATGGTTTATAGTGGAAAGGTACTGGTTTAAACTTAACCTACTTGCTGTTTGAAACAAGTTATTTTAGTTAAAGTGAAATTCTCTATGTAAAATATCATTTTAAGAAATCTTCATAATGCATTTTGCTGTTTTAAAGTTTTGTATTTAGTAAAATGCAGAAAGTCTAATCCTTCTGAAGACTCCCTTATTACATCTCCTCACACACCCACTTGTACTCACACCCCCAATCCAAAGGTTCATGGGGATACTCTGTTATGTAATTTTGTTGTCAATGTGATTCATAGGTTTTTGGTTTTGCTGTCTAGTTGCTCTGTTTTAATTTTGGGATTTAGAAAGATTAAACGCTATGCCACCACCACCTTTCACTTTGAACATTTTGAAGACAAATATTTCCTACTTGTGACTAACATACCCAGCCAAATTATCCATCACTATAAGATCAGAAAAATATTTTAACTGTTGATGTTTCATGCACCCTTTCCCAGGAAGCTACTACAGAATACATTCCACTAAATTAAACAGATAAATCAAGGAGGAAGGCATCATGGAATGCAGAAAATAAGGGCTTATGAGAGAGGTAGAGGGAATTCCTGGCACCTGTGAAGTGCAGCCTGAGTATAGAAGTATGCAGCAAGTTTAGAAAGTCACCATCAGATTGGGGCAGGATGCCAAAGGGTGACAGGAGGGATGTCTCCAGAAAAAAAAAAAAAAAAAAAAATATATATATATATATATAGAATGGCACTGACAAATATGAGTGTATGGCTGTGAACTAGTAGAAAGTATACAGAAAGCTAAGGAAATGAGGCTGGGCACAGTGGCTCATGCCTGTAATCCCAGCACTTTGGGAGGCTGAGGCAGGAGGATCACTTGAGGTCAGGAGTTCGAGACCAACCTGGCCAACATGGTGAAACCCCGTCTCTACAAAAAATACAAAAATTAGCTGGGCATGGTGGTGGGCCCCTGTAATCCCAGCTACTCAGGAGGCTGAGGCAGGAGAATCACTTGAACCAGGGAGGCAGAGGTTGCAGTGAGCTGAGATGGCGCCACTGCACTCCAGCCTGGGCAACAAAGCGAGACTCTGTCTCAAAAAAGAAAGCTAAGAAAATGAAAGAGGGAGGCGATGATTATCTTCAAGGAAAAAAGGTCGTATAAGAAAGAAGATGCAGTGAAAATGCATGAACACAGGGGTGGCATGTAGCATGTAGCACACGCACTGACATGCAGTCATGTAATCTTGTTACCATCACAGGCAGGGATTGAATGGAGACCCGTGTAGCCTCTGCGGGGACACATGCAGTAGAGAGAGTTAGAGGTAGGAGCACGAATGAGCTAAATATTTATCTTCCCATGTAACTGGTGCTGTTGACATTTTCAAAATTATGCTATAAGCATATGATTTGGAAATATGGACACAATAAAGGTAGAGGAGCAAAGAGCTATGAGTGATTCTCTGCAGGGGATTCCGGAGTGGGCGATGGCAAGGACATCGGGTTATTCTTATGGCTGGGTAGCGCTATTTTCTTTTAAAACTATGTAAATGTGGCCGGCCACGTGGCTCATGCCTGTAATCCCAGCACTTTGAGAGGCCAAGGCGTGTGGATCACCTGAGGTCGGGAGTTCGAGACCAGCCTGACAACATGGTGAAGCCCTGTCTCTACTGAAAACACAACATTACCGGGTGTGGTGGTGCATGCCTGTAATCCCAGCTACTCGGGAGGCTGAAGCAGGAGAATCACTTAAACCCAGGAAGTGGAGATTGCAGTGAGCCGAGATCATGCCACTGCATTCTAGCCCGAGCGACACAGCGAGACTCCAATAAAAAAAAAAAAAAAAAAAAAGGCAAATGCATTTCTTTGGCTAACATTAAAGTTTTTACAAAGTTTCATTGTAATACAGAAAATAAACTCTTGGTGTACCCCTGTAGGATTACACAGAATAAAACCAACCATTCGATACCTTTCTTCTTCCATTCCCAATCAGAAGGTTATTTCTGACCCATTGAAATATTATCTACAAAGAAGATGAGAGCCTCCTGCAGCAGTCTCGAGTGGTCTGAGAGCTGAACCCAGGTTTGAGGCCTATCTCCAGGTGGTCCTGAATATCCGTGCATCCCGGGACCTTGTTAGGATGAACTCACCAGAGGCGTCCTGGGTTGCTCAACGCAGAGACTCTTACCCAGGGTGTCAGCCTCTGAAAGATACACGTGCCTGGGCCTCTTTCCTGAAGATGGACCCAGCAGGTCTGGAGGGAGGGCCCTGTGATGCACCCTATGATGAGCCGCTGATCCGAGCTGCGTGGAACCTCAGCGGGGGTGTGAGCTATCAGGAACCTGCCGCTGGACTGCAGCGACCAGGAGAATACGGGTTCTGTGCATCCGACGGCGGGGACCAAGCAGAAAGGAAAAACCCTTGCTGAGCAGACTGTGCACTGGGCAGCCTGCCGGCCACTTTATACAGATTCTGTCATTCAGCTGGGGTCTCTCTGCTCCTTGATACTAACCACGCCTACCAGACCATCTTCCCTCCAGCTGGAGGAAGAGGTAGACCTGGACCCTGGACGAGGCAGGGAAAATCAGGGAGACCCAGCAGGACGGGTGAGAGGAGTGTGCTTGGGGAAGGTGGCCCCTAGTGCCTGGCCTCAGGCAAAGTCGTTTTCTGTGGATCCAAAAAGGAGGTGGCGTGATTGTGCCCAGTTCACAGACAGGCAAGGAGGGGCCTCGGCAGGCTAAGGCATTGCTGCAGGATGCACCGTGCCCGCCCCTGCCTGCAGAGCCGGTGTTTTCAATTCCTTCATTCCACCTTAGCAAGATGGGCCTTGGGGGGGAAGTGGGGGAGTGAGGGAGAAGCAGGTGTGTGCCAGAGACCAACGACACCCACTGTGGGTTCCAGCTGTCCTGCGGTGGGTCAGGCCAGCAGACTGCAGGGACGGGGCTGGGAATGGCCGTGATTAGGAGACAGATGATCCAGCCACAAGCCTGTGGTGGCCTTGGGATCTAGCTGGCCCGGGGATGATTCCTGCCTTCACCGTCTTCAAGTAGTGGGATTTTAGACTTAGGTTTCCTCATCAGAAAAACCGGAGCAGTGGAGCCCCGCACTCGTGCTGCCGTCCGTTTACAGAAGTACACAGGGGTGGGTGTGAGATTCCTGGCACATGGCCAGGTCTCCAGCCTCAGCTTCCATCTCCTCCTTAAAGTGATCCAAGCTGAAGCATGCACTGGTGCAGCCTGTATGACGACATTCAACGTGGTGACGTTGTGAGCTGCCAACACAACCACGGCGGCATCAGAGTTTTTCTTCACGTGTGTCACTAAGGCAGAAACTGGTCTCATCGATGTTGTTTTGTTTTTGTTGTTGAGACAGGGTCTTGGTCTGTAGCCCAGGCTGGAGTGCAGTGGCACGATCACAGCTCACTGCAGCCTCAACCTTCTGGGCTCAGGTGATCCTCCCACCTCAGCCTGCTGCGTAGCGGGCACCACAGGTGTGAGCCAACATGTCCAGCTAATTTTTTATTTTTTGTAGAGACCAGGGTCTTCCTATGCTGCCGAGGCTGGTTTCAAATTCCTGGGCTCAAGTGATCTGCCTGCCTTGGCCTTGCAAAGCGCTGGGATTTCAGATGTGAGCTACCACGCCTGGCTGTGTGTTTTTTTTTTTTTTTTGAGACGGAGTCTCGCTCTGTCGCCCAGGCCGGAGTGCAGTGGGGCGATCTTGGCTCACTGAAACCTCTGCCTCTCAGGTTCAAGACATTCTCATGCCTCAGCCTCCTGAGTAACTGGGATTACAGGTACACGCTACCACACCCGGCTTAAAAAAAAAAAATATATATATATATATATATATATGTATTTGTACTTTTAGTAGAGACATGGTTTCACTATGTTGATCAGGCTGGTCTTGAACGCCTGACTGGTTTTCTTTTTTAAGAGCTTTCTTCTTCACGAGCTCTGTCTTCTGAAATGGAACTCAGAATAATTGAATATTAACATAAAAAGTTATCTCTGGTTCTGGAAACACTATTTTTTTCTTTTTCTTTTTTAAATTTTTAACCATTTTAAGTGCACGGTTCAGTGGCATGAAGTATCAGACATTCACACTGTGGTACAAGCACTGCCATCCATTCCAGGACTTTTATATCATCCCAAACTGAAACTCTGTCCCCATTAAATACTTACTGTCCAATCCTCCCTTACCCCAGCCCCTGTCAAGGGGCTTCTAGCCCCATTCTATCATACTTTCTGTCTCTATGGATTTTACCTTTCTGGGGACCTCGTATCAGTGGAATCTTACAGTATTTGCCCCTTTAGGCTGGCTTCACTTAGTAGCATACAAAACCATTACAATTTTTACACACTTATTTGGCTTTTTGAGCAGACTGAGCTAATTTCCAGTTGTCTAAGAATATTTAAGTATTCTTATAAGTTACAATAGCTGAAAAATATTTTAAGAGAAACCATTTTATCTTTCTGTTTGAAAAAGTGAAGGGGTGGCCGGGTGCGGTGCCTCACGCCTGTAATCCCAGCACTTTGGGAGGCTGAGGTGGGCAGATCATGAGGTCAGGAATTCGAGATCAGCCTGGCCAACATGGTGAACCCTGTCTCTACTAAAAATACAAAAATTAGCCAGGTGTGGAGGCGGGCGCCTATAATCCCAGCTACTCAGGAGGCTGAGGCAGGAGAACTGCTTGAACCTGGGAGGCAGAGGTTGCAAGGAGCCGAGACCGCATCATTGCCCTCCAGCCTGGGGACACAGCAAGACTAAAGGGGTGAGTTTTCAGTTTTCTAGAAAGTAAACAGTTTAGTTTTACCTTTAAAAGTAAAAAGTTTGGTTTTCATAAGTTGAACATTCATTAAAGTAATGTTATGTAATATTCAAGCAACTTGCTTGAGCAAAGGTGCAAATTACTTTGACTAATGCTAAATTTCTAATTATCATCCACCTCTTATTTCAGATACCCTATCATCTTTACTTTGTTGGAGAGGAGCTGTAATAGTCTATGTTAAAGTTACTGTTCAGACAAAGGATTCCAACAAATTGCTTTCACTACTTTATTGGTAATTTTAAGAACTACGAGGAACTTAGTTGTTTTTTTCTGGAAGAAAACTGGAATTAAAATCGCTGATCCTTTAGAGAAATAGAACAAAGGAGAAGGGAGTGTACAAAATAAATAAGAAAAGAATTCTTAGCATACTTTCCTTTCCTGTATTCTCACTGAGAAATAAAAAGTAAATGGGATATTGAGAAGCAAAATTAATCCTGATTAGGCTCGCTTTGGGACAAGCAACCACTTTGCACGATTACCCATTGTTAGGCGTGAAACGGAGCCGATGATCGCTCATTGTTGAGGAGAAAAGACCTGGAGACCACGCTCATCCAGTCTCGCTCCTGACCTGCATCTGAACACCTGAAGGAAGAAACTTTAAGAAAAAGACTTCAAGTGACAGAGGAGACAAAAGTCTCAAAGGTGCAGAATTCAAGAAGCATGGCGTCTCAGGATGGGTGTGAAAGTGACAAATAGGAGATCCCCTGACAGCTAAACCCAGGCACATCCTGGAATCCCGGGATGCGGTGCAAGTTTTCATGGCAGAGCTCATACCAGCATTGTGTGGAAGATTAAATGTTGTTATGCTTTGAGATTGGCACGCATGCTATTCATTTTTTATTAAGAAGTACAATGAAATTTAATGTATTCCATTTTTGACACCAATGTAATGACCAAATTAAACTAGATTTTCAAAAATAATCAGAGGCCCTGCCCCGCAAACTCCTCCTGGGCCCAGGGAGATGTGGGTCCAGTCAGTGGCAACTCCATCTTGGGTGCTGATCCACCATGCTGACTTCAGACCAGCGCCAGTCTCCTGAGCGCCTCCCAATTCCTATGTGATTTCCTGTCCCTAGTGTATGAACATGTCAGCCTTGATGTGATTACACAGATTATGGGCCATGACACACCTACCACTCTGCCTGTTCTGAAGGGCTGCCTTTAATTGTCTTGCAAAGAGCACTTACACCTCTTCCCCAGGGCACAGAAGCCCTGGGTCTGGGGTGACAGGTACAGAGACCTACCTATCCTCCAGCCACCCAAGACCATGCTTCTGTCTGTAAATTCCCCCAATAAAACACCCTTTACTAACAAATGTGATTGATCTGGCTTATTCCTTGGTTTCTCGGCTCCTTCGGCATTTGGGGGCCGTGTTGCATATGTGGCCCTTTCCTGGAACAGGAGACAATGTTCTACGTTACGTTCCAGGACAATTGACCTGGCAGAGCATGGCAGATGATCTCGGGGGCTTTTGAGCTCGGGGGCTTTTGAGCTCACTCTCCACAGCTCTCCTTCACAGTGGCAGGAGTCATGCGGGATGGATGGCCTTGCCCGGGGCACTTTTCACTCTGCGAGTGCTCACGCCTTACGCTCTTCCTTTATTCTGTTAACGCTCATCGGCTAAAATAGCAGTTTATGTATAACTAATTCTTTTAGCATCTGTTGAGCACCACGCTATGCCTAAGGAGAGAAAGACCGATAACTGATGGTAACTGATCATCCAACCGGTTCACATTCAGGTGGGAGACAGACATTTAGATGAATAAGTCTGAAACCTGCTACGCTGGGAGCTTTTTACAAAAGCTTGGATCCCACTCCAAACCAACTGAGTCAAAGTGTCTGGGAGAAACACTGCCTGGGGAAGTACTATTTTATTAATAGTATTATTTGAGACAGTCTCACTCTGTCACCCAGGCTGCAGTACAGTGGCATGATCAGAACTCATTGCAGCCTCAGCCTCTTGGGCTCAAGCAATCCTCCTACCTCAGCTTCCTGAGTAGCTGGGACTACAGGTGTGGGCCACCATACCCAGCTAATTTTATTTTTTGTGTGTTTTTTTGTAGAGATGGGGTCTTGCTAGGTTGCCTAATCGTCCCACCTTGGCCTCTCAAAGTGCTGGAAGTACAGTTGTGAGCCACCATGCCCAGCCTGGGGAAGTGCTATTGGTTAAAAAAAATTCCCTAAGTGAGTTTAATCTATAACCAGGGTTTAGAAATACTGCTGTGGAAAAATAACTAAGCTTTACTAAGTGGTGCCATTAGGAATGCTAAGGGGGGAGTGATTAATGATAACCAAGCCGGAACCCAGGCAGGTGTAGGGAGAGATGGCATCTGAGAGTGACTAAGAGGGGGCCAAACACGGGGTGGGGCAGAAGATTCCAGAACAAGGGACCAGGGAGGTTAGAGAACGGCCTGTGGAGGGGCAGAAAGTGAAGTTTCTGCCATTGAAGAACTCTAGGGGCTGGGCGTGGTGGCTCACGCCTGTAATCCCAGCACTTTGGGAGGCCGAGGCAGGTGGATCACCTGAGGTCAGGAGTTCAAGATCAGCCTGGGAAACATGGCAAAACCCCATCTCTATCAAAAATACAAAAATTAGCCAGGTGTGGTGGCGGGTGCCTGTAATCCCAGCTACTGGGGAGGCTGAGGCAGTAGAATCGCCTGAACCTGGGGAGCGGAGGTTGCATTGAGCTGAGATTGCACCATTGCTCTCCAGCCTGGGAGACAGAGCGAGACTCTGTCTCAAAAAAAAAAAAAAGAAAAAAAAAAGAACTTTAGGACCAATCCCTGGGGAGATGGTCACCTACGTAATTCTGGACCTGTGGGGATAGCAACTCAAGAGATGCGTGGACAGCATGGGCCAATAACTTGGAGGAGCAAGGCTGTTTGCCCTCGGAGGCCCGGCTTGAGTCACCACCTTCAGGTAACAGCTCTTTCTAGCACCAAAATGACACCCATTAAAAATTCACACTTCCTGGTTCTGTGTCTACAGCAATCAGCTCTGGCTTTAGGTTTGTCGTTTCGGGTCTCGGTGCAATAACTCTTTTGAACTGTCTTTACAGGAAGACCTCATTTTTTTGCCCCCACGCCCTTATTTCCCTCCAGTTTTTTTCACTTAAGGGCCAATGAATCCAAGATTTCTTTGGAAAGAAAGGCGGAGGGAGGAACGGAAGATGGGTGTTTATGAGTCTGTGTGTACCAGGTGAGGGTGTGGCCAGGGTGTTGCCTGAAGCACCCATTTGCAAACCCACAATTTCAAGTCTTGGGGTTGGCCTCCTAACTGTTACCTCCTCCTCATTCATTCCATCCCTCCAGCGCTGTGAAGCAGCTGTGCTGGTAGTGGGTCAGGGGTAGGTCCTGGTTACCTGAGGCTAAGACAATTTCATTCACCTTGGACACTTACTAGTTTGGTGATGTGCACTGACCTCAGGCCTAAGCCGATCATCTCAGGGACTCTGCTACCCGCGTGATGGACTGGCCAGGAGTGGGCACATGACTTAGCTGGTCCATCACTGTGAAGTCTCTCTTGCTTGGATGTGAAGGAAGAAACTTGGAGGCCGTGGAGTTTTTGGCAGTCATTTCACTTTTGAAGTCACTGTGATGGGCACCAACACATTACATTATCATTTAGTCAGTCTATGGTAGATTATTTCCAAAGATAATCCCCCATAAATTCCCTGTATGATAATCCCTCATAAGGATTAGGAGGAGTTCTCATAATCCCTCATAAGGATCCCTGTTGTACATGGGATCCTCCCATTAAGAAGTGAAATCTATGTCCTTATCTCTTGAATCTAGTGGACTTGGAATTTATATTCACCAACAGAACAAGGTAGAAGTCATATTCTCGGACTTCCAAAGCCAGGCCTTACAGGCTGTATAGTGTCCACACTGACCCTCCTGGGCTGCCATGTAAACACTCAGGCTAGACCACTGAATGATGAGAAGCCAGAGAGACAGACAGCAAGGCCGGCCTGTCCCCAGTGTTTTACCACCCCAGCTAAGATCCCAGCTATGTGATTAGAGCCACAGGAACCTTCCAGCCCCAGCTGAGCCCCCAGAAGAATGCAGCTGCAGGAGAATCCCAGCCAACACCAGGTGGAGCAGAAGCACCATGTCGCCAATTCCACAGGGTCCCGAGAGATGGTAACCCACTCACTGTTGTTTCAGCTCCTGCACTCGCGGTCACTCATGACACAGCCAAAAATAACTGACTCACAGGGTGTCTTAGTCTGCTCAGGCTGCTGTAACAAAATCCTTTAGATGGCTATTCATACACACAGAAGTTTGCTTCCCACAGTTCTGAAGGCTGAGAAATCCAAGATCAAGGTCCCAGCAGATCTGGCATCTGAGAAAAGTTCTCTCCCTCACAGAAGGCCTCTTCTAAGCGTCTTCATATGGCAGAAAGGGCAAGCAGGCTCCCAAAAACCTGTTTTAAAGGGCACTAATCCCATTCCTAATCACCTCCCAAGGCCTCCACCTCTTGATATTTGGGATTAGTGATTAGGTATTTGGGATTAGATTTCTACATGTGAATTTGGGAGGACACTTTCAAACCATAGCACGGGGTGAGTTGGACTTTGTTTTTTAATAGTTCTGATTTTTTTTTCCTTAGATTTACCACGAAGATGCTGACATGTGTTAGAAAATCCAGCTCATGTGGTTTAAATGAAGACATCTCTCATAGCAGGAAATTCCAGGTGAGGGCAGCAGGGTTTTGGTGAATTGTCTGATTGTGCCGAGGACTCCTGCTCTTCTCATCTTCCCAGGTGGCCAGAGTGAAGATGCTCTTCCGGCCACCTTCTCTCGTGGGTGCAAAGGGCTGTGGAGCACCAGGCATTGCATCCAGACAGGGAACGCAACATCCGCCAGGGAAAAAGGAGCATTTCCTGTTTATGTTCCTGTAGGAGTGAGAAAACCTTGGCCAGACAACCCCCAGCAGGCTTCCTGTTGGGACTCATTGACTTGAGCTTGTTTGAAGCCAATCGTTGGAAAGAGAAATGGAGCTACCAAGATTTTCTCAAAAGAGACACAGTTTACCCTCAGCCACACAGAGGGTGGATATCTGAGCCAGCAAGGATAAAGAGGGCATGGCTGCTGCCCTGTAGTATTCGCTACAGAATGAAAAATAATTCGCATTTACCACTGAATAAAGCAGACACTCCTGACAGGCAGGCAGCCTTGATACAGTGCCTTATACAACCTCTGTTTGCGCCTCCACCCCAATCCCACAGTCACAGTTTACAAGGTAGAAGCTTAGTCAAAATCCGGCTCCAGCAGTCAGAGTTCTTGCAGGAAAATGAAGGTGTTCTTAGGAGGGGATTTGGAAAGGAGTTTGATGAAGGGACTGTTTGTTGCGGTGAGGTCATGGTTCAAGGACCCTTCAAAAGGGTGCTGCTATTTAGGGACCAGAAACAGTGGCAGACCGACAACATGTTTCACCCTAAGAGGCTCGGGGGAGGCGATAAGTTCTGTTCGTAGAGCCTGGAGGAGTTATGCAATGGAACGGGCACCCGGGAAGAAGAATCTTGGCCGCAGAGGTAAACCAACACTGGAGGATGTAGGGGCAGGCGGGAAGGAGAGGGGAGCAGGCCCCTGCCTCTCTCCTACCTGGTCTGCAGCAGGTGCTCCTGTGGGTGAAGATCCACTGAGGGGCACCACCAGCTTCCGGAGCTCAGGGCAGGCTGCAGCAGGACGGGCTGGAAAATGGAGAATCGGTGATTTGGACAAGAAGTGGGAGCCGTTTACTGTTCAGTCACTACGATTATTGTTCACTAGTACTCATTTCTATTCGTCTAAAAGGTGGCTAACACCATTTCTTTTCCGCAAGCACTCGGGAGAACATTCATATTCAACTGCGTTCCTAAGACCCAGACGGGGCAGCGTTCTCCACAGGCCACCAAAAGGTGTTGTCTGTTTGGTTTCATCAGTGATTATCTATGGCAGTAAGACAGGAAGTTGGAAACCAAGTATCTCAATTAAGTCAAGGCTGGGTGGATTTAGAGAACAAAGTGCTTGTTCCCCGGGCCAGGTCACCCTAGAGAAAACAGAGGCATTCTCTGGGATGCAAATGGTAGTGTTTGTGTGGCAAATACTCCTCAGCCCAGTTCAAAGCCAGCAGCATGAAGGACACGCCACGGGGAGCTGGAGACCAGGAGAAGCTGAACTCCTCTGTGGTTCACCAACCCCTCAGGCCACCTAAGTGTCTTCCGCTGTCGCAGCTTCGGGGCCAGAGGCCGGGCCCTGGGAGCCACCGGGTTTCGGAACCGGGGCAGCCACCTGCAGAGCAGGAAAAGCCGGCGGGTCGGCGGCGCCACGTTCCGGGGCGAAACCCAGCCTCGGCTCAGATCTTCCACCCGGCCGGACTCCCGCTCTCTCCCCGCGCCCCCTCCCACACTTCCACCTCGCCCCGCGATCTCACTGCCCCATCGAGGCTTCCGGGAGGAGGAGAAAAGTTTTCCCGCAGGAACCCGGGAAGGAAGCCCTGATACCCTGACCGAGACTCCGGGTTCCCCCAGTGCCGAGCCCCTTTCCCGCCGCGCCCCGCGCCTGCGCCCCGGGAGGCGGAAGCAACAGGGGTTCCTCCCCGCGGCCTCTGACCTCTGCCCTCTGCCCCCAGGGTCTGAGGGGCCCGGGCCGAGGCGTGAGGGGGCAGGGCTGGCGCGCGGGTGCGAGGGTGTGGGCGCGGGGCGGGCGGGGGCTGCGGCCGCGGGGCGCATGCTCACTCGCGCCGGTGACGTGCGCGCCGGGAGCAGGGGCAGGAGCCAGCGGGGCCCGGAGGCTCCAGAGGGCGGCGGGCCGGGGAGGAGGAGACTCGGGAGGAGGAGAGCGCAGGCTCCGCTGCGGCCGGAGTGCCTCAGTCGAGCCCAACCCAGCGGGCGGACCGACGGGGAGAGAGAAGGCGCCAGAGCTCGCGCGCGGCCCGGAGCAGCAGCCTCGCCGCCCGCGGAGCAGCAGCCGACGCGCGGCGCCGCGGACCCAGCATTCGCCGGCCGGGCCGGGCATGAGCGCGGAGGGGCCGCGGCCGCCCCCTGCACCGCCCGGCGCGCCCAGGCCGTGACCGGAGCAGGGGGCGCGGCCGCACTCGGACCCCGGAGCCCATGGGCGCGCCGAGCCGGGCGCGGGGGCGCTGAGCGGCGGAGCGGGAGCGGCCGGAGGAGCCATGGACTGCAGCCTCGTGCGGACGCTCGTGCACAGATACGTGAGTGCTCCCGGCGCGGGCTGGGGGACCCGGGTACCAGACAGACGCGGGGCGGCCCCGCAGCCCCGACCCTGTGGCCGGTCCAGCCCCGGGATCGTGGGAGGGCTCCCATGTCTGGGACGCTGACCGCCCCCGGGGCCAGGCGGGATGCTGGGGAGGGGCCTCGGAGTTGAGACCCTGGGGCTTCCGACGGGGTCTAGGTGGGCACAGCGCACGGCCCCCGCCTGAGGCCGCCACCTGCTCTCCTGCCGCGGCCGCCTCGCGCCCCCTTCCCGCCCGCAGCGCCCTGGGGGTTCCTCGGAGAGACTGGCTGGGGTTCGAGCCGTCCCGGCGGACCGGGCGCCCGGAGAGAGCCAACTTCGACCCCACCGGGGCCCGGGTCCGGGGAGGAACCTTCAGATGCGGCTTCCGCGCAGCCGTGTCTGCGGGAAGATTAAGAGATTGGGAGGAAGCGTTACACTTCTGCAGAAAAAGCTAGCAAATGTGTTTGTTCTTTAACACCCCGGGGGATTCAGAAGCGGAGTTGGAATCTTTTTATTTTTTACCTTAAAGTAACCGATTAGATCAGAAGTTCGGGTCTTCTTGGGTTCCTCCGGAATCTGCCCCTTCAGTGATAAGCCAGTGAAGAGCTCAGGAGGGAAGACTCGGAAGGAGAAAAGTTGATTTTATTTTACACCAGAGGAGGGGAAACCGGAATCCCTGGCGTTAGGTGTAAAAAGGGGTGTGTGGCCGGGCGCGGTGGCTCACTCCTGTAATCCCAGCACTTTGGGAGGCCAAGGCGGGCGGATCATGAGGTTAGGAGTTTGAGACCAGCCTGACCAACATGGTGAAACTCCGTCTCTACTAAAAAATACAAAAATTAGCCGGCGTGGTGGTGGACGCCTGTGATCCCAGCTACTCAGGAGGCTGAGGCAGGAGAATCGCTTGAACCCGGGAGTCGGAGGTTGCAGCAGTGAGCCGAGATGGAGCCACTGCACTCCAACCTGGGTGACAGAGTGAGACTCCGTCTAAAAAAAAAAAAAGTGTATATGTGTGTGTAGAAGAGGAAGAAAACTGTCCCAAGCGCAGCGTTTCCTGCCACTGTCTTGCACAAGAGGCATCATTGTTCCATAGAGGCTGGCGGTCAGTGGTCAGTCACAGGTTCGAGAAGTCGCATGCACCGGGTTTGGTACTAGAGAGGGCAGTATTATGGGAACTTTGTTCTTTCCCGGCATAGGAATTACCTCAGGCAGCCTTTCATATTTATGAGCTTTCTTTAAATAGGAGACCTTGGCCAAAGATAGGTTTCTTTTCAGCGGAGGATGCCAGATCAATGCTTTCCCCCGGATTTATATACTAACCAAAAACCTCGGAGAGTCAAGGGGGACTTGAGTGCACCTTACATTGTTTCCTGATGTCGGGGAAGCCTTAGGAAGGTCAGCCTGCTTTACTTAAGTGGAGAGAACTCACCCCTGGTGATTCTGATGATTCCGATGCTAGATCTGGAAAGGCTTAGCTGCAGGAACCTTGTGTTACCCCTTCACTGGTGCTCCAGCCCCCAATTCAAATCCTAATGTGAGTGGTAAACCTGTGTTTCACTGTGGTAACGTTATAGAAGACCCAATCACAGTGACTGTGGGTAACCTGCTGTGTGAGAGACGTGCTTTATTGGGCGGAAGCTTCTGTTCTCAGTTGTGTCGCTTAGAAATGTGGGTCCCTAGATAACTTATTTTCCTGCCTTGTTTCCTCCGAGGGAAATGGAAGAGGGAAGGGACTAACATTCACTTTACCTGTGCCCGCGGTGTTCCCAGTTCATTCCGTTCCCTTCTAACACTCAGTGTTAAAAAGGAGGGTCACATTGTGGTGCTAATGTGCAGCCTCTTTCCATAGAAATGAGAGATGGATGCTCGGCCCACCCTGTGGAGAATCTCACCTTCCCAGCCAGTTCCTGACCCCTTCATCCTGGGAGGGGGACAGACAGACGTCCAATTTTGATGCTTTGACGCCCTTCCTTTCTCCAGGCCTTCAGCTGTTTTCTGTTATATAGATTTATATAAGTGCGTAGCTTACATTTTTAATTCCCTTTTGTTGGATTATTACGCCAGTGGCATCACATTTTCTCTTAATCTAAGGGGTCAATATTCTTTAGTGAACTTTTCCAGCATGTACGTTATTTGATAACATCTTGGAAATACAAGTTGTGGGATAGTATTATTTCTGTTTTTCTCATTCCGCATGTGTTTTTTGCAGTGTATTCGTCTGGCTACCTCACCCATATTTACACACAAAACCATTCATCTCTATAATTTTAAGTTCATGTCTATGGTATTAAACTAATTCGACTTTTTCCAGAAACAGTCATGATCTGCTTTCTTGTTATTTCGTTATCGTCCACTATGTGGGACTAAATTATATTTCCTTTTGCTACAGAAAAAGGAGTCTGGGATTGAATACTCATATTTCCTCATGGTTTCCTTACGTGACTTACTTTATAAAAAAGGATAGATAAACAGACCCTACTCCCTCTTGGTGTTCACATAGTCAATTCCTGGGACTAAGAAAGCTTTCCAGCTCCTTCTGATGTGTGAGGGTGGCTAAAAGATAAAGAAGTCCTTGGAAAACATTGCTGTAGGCATTTTATTGTGGGTTAACTCCAGAGAGATAGCAGAGGCAAATGAGTGAGAGAACAGATGAACGATTAGGCCAGAGTACTCCACCCTGTGGGTTACTAGTTGTTTGGGTGTTTGGATGGACAGGAGCCATGCAGAGATATTTTGTATTTGTAAATGGGGCCATGTTTGTATACTATAAGGAGGTGCTTGTGTGTATGGGGTGCTGTATGCTCCATGGGGTGATGTACGTGCGTGGGGGGCGCAGGGGAGAGCGTGTGGTGCCGTGGGGTGGTGTATGTGCCGTGGGGTGGTGTATGCACTATGGGGTGGTGTAGGTGCTGTGGGAGTCGTGGGGGTGGGGAGAGAGCCTGCGTGCCGGGAGTGGTGTATGTGCCATGTGTGCCATGGAGTAGTGTACATATTGTGGAGTAGTGTTTGTGCTGTGGGGTAGTGTATATTCCATGGGGTGGTGTATGTGCTGTGGGAGCCGAGGGGTAATGTGTGTGCCGTGGAGTGGCGTATGTACTGTGGAGTAGTGTATGTGCTGTGGGGTAGCATGTGAGTCATGGGGTAGTTCCTGTGCCATGAGGTAGTTTGACCTCCATGATGTAACACTTTATTTTTTATTTATTTATTTATTTATTTATTTATTTTTTTGAGATGGAGTCTCGCTCTGTCTCCCAGGCTGGAGTGCAGTGGCCCGATCTCGGCTCACCACAACCTCCGCCTTCCAGGTTCAAGCGATTCTCCTGCCTCAGCCTCCCGAGTAGCTGGGACTACAGGCGTCCGCCATCACTCCCGGTTAATTTTTGTATTTTTAGTGGAGAAGGGGTTTCACCATATTGGCCAGGCTGGTCTCGAACTCCTGACCTTGTGATCTGCCCGCCTCAGCCTCCCAAAGTGCTGGGATTACAGGCGTGAGCCACCGCGCCTGGCCGATGTAACGCTTTAAAAGGACTTTTAGGCCGGGCACGGTGGCTCACACCTGTAATCCTAGCACTATGGGAGGCCGAGGCGGGTGGATCACCTGATGTCAGGAGTTCAAGACCAACCTGGCCAACATGGTGAAGCCCCGTCTCTACTAAAAATACAGAAAATTAGCCAGGCGTGGTAGTGGGTGCCTGTAATCCCAGCTACTCAGAAGGCTGAGGCAGGAGAAATGCTTGAGCCCAGAAGGCGGAGGTTGCAGTGAGCTGAGATCGCACCATTACACTCCAGCCTGGGTAACGAGCAAATCTCATCTCAAATAAGAGTATTTTTTAACAGCATGGATGGAGAGCTAGTTCCATTTCCTCTTCAGAGTTGTAAAGTGGGCAACACCAATTCAGGTAGTTTAAGTTCCGAGAGAAACCGGGGCAGCCTCAGCGGGAAGCTTACTTTCCTTAGATACTCTCTGGGCAGTGGCCTGAATGCTGAGTGGGAGCCTCCCTGCCCTTCTTAGCCATGTGGCCTTGGGCAAGTGGCTTAATTCCTTCTGCCTCAGTTTTCTCCTCTGAGGGTAAGAGCAGTACTCATTGCATAGCTATTGTGAGGGCTGAGTGAGGTAATCTGGGTGGAGAGCCAAGAATGGGGAAGCGCTCAGTCCATTTGTCATGCCTGGCTGTTAACATAGCTGAGTCCCTGGGTAGGGGTGGCTGGGGAGAGAGCAAACCTATGGCCTGCCAGTTCTGTTGCTCAGCTACCCGTGGGTCCCAGCCTGCTGGCATCATGGGTCCCAGGAGAGGTAAACCGGCACCCTGACACTGAGCATGGTGTGGAGCTCAGGTAGAATTCAGAAAGCTTTACAACGCTGTTGTAAAACGGCCCTGGATCTCTGTGAGACTGAGCATCCCGGCCTGGGCAGAACGCTTCACTCCCATTTCTCTTCCATGCCTCCGTGTAGGTAGAGCATTTGATTTTTCTTCAGAGTTCTGTGGGTCAAGAACTCAGTCTTGTTATGGTCTTATAATCTTTTTTCAATGATTCAGCCCAGATGTTCCTTGTTAGTTTTGTTCTTTTGCCTGTCAAAGCTTCTGCGTTTTTCTACCTTACCGTTCTTGTTTCTTAACATGTTTCTAACTTTCCAAGATAGAAAACATTGAAAGATCTGAAGGCTTTCCTTGCTGACAGTAGATAATTACTTTCAACACAAACAGTTATAAGTTTTTTCTAAGAGAAAAATAAACATTTTTGCTTCCCGAGAACTTCAAGCAGTGCTATATTAGAGTGTTAAACCTTCTAGAAAGTCCAGCTGTTTATATGCATGCATACATGTCTGCTTCTTTATTTATTACCGAATGGTGTGTAATGTGAACATCAGTGTTCAACTGTGAGGTTGCCCCTTCTGAAAGACGGACTTATTTATTTAATTCAGTTATGCCAGCCCCTGTTTTAAAACTTCAGAAATGCCACGTAATTTTGGAGTTTCTT